CAGTCATGAAACTTCTAATTAACTACAGCTTAATTCCTTAATATTAACAAATACATTAATGCAGCCATAAATTAAATTAAACACTGCATTTAATTTCTCTCTGGGCAAAGATGGTAACTAAAAATTTCAAAAAAATTATAAGAGATGATTACCTGTAGATCCTCCAGGGCCTCCAATTCACAAGCCACAGTATAGAAAATGAAGCAGAACCCAAAACGGAGAAAAGGGTCCCAGAAATCACGCATGCTAGCAGCAGGCGACGCTCATCTCCTTCCATGGCTTTCCTCTCTCACCTACACAACGCATGCATCCGAACCCATCTCCCAAACTCCAACTAAAAACCAGAAAGCAACAAAATTCAGTCAAAAAACCAAATTTCCGGAATGCCCCCAGCACCCACTAGCCCGCAATGGCATGGATTGGAAGTAGCATGATGGTGAATTCAGGGCAAACGGGCCATTTTGGAAGTGGGAATTGTGGTCCAAGACTAGGGTTTGTGGCAGAAATTGAACAAGAGTGAAAGGCCAAGGTTTTTGAGTCAACAATAGCAGGAAGAAAGGAAGAAGAAGACGACTATGATTTGGGAATTAGGGTTTGTTTTAGGTTGAAAAAGATTTTGGCTTTATGTTTGTTTGTTTTGTGTTGTGTTGGGTTTGTCTCTCACGAGTCAAGATTGTAGGTTCACAGAGAGGGATGGGGGAGAAAGAGTAAAGATTAAAAAAACCCTACTGACTCACAGATATCTTTGTGTGAACTGTGTGAGGTGAAAAAGGAAGCTCCTTTGGAGAGAGAAAACAGGCAAAAGATCAAAATAAAAACAATATATTGAAAATAAAAATTAAAAAAATTAAAAAGTTAGAAGAGTGGCCATAAAACAACAGCTACCTCTGTGCCTTTGGGGGAGCTACACTCACACATGGATGGTGCGCGTGCATTTCACGATCCTATTGCGTGATGGGCAACTTATTTTCTATTGGGAGGTAGGTTGGGCTACTTTGGTGTGAGAGTGAGAGTGGAAGTTTATACATATGTATATTTTATATATGTGGGTTGTTTGTGTATGAATGTCTCAAGATGATAATTATTGAGATAAGAAAATAAGAATCAGAAAAGTAATTTTATATACATTTGTGATTTAAATAATTTAAAGGGTCAAGATAGTATTCTTGAATTAGTAGTAGGTGTAGAATAATGTGTTCCCACTGCATTATTTGTATTTGTTTAATGAAATAATTAATTAGGTAAAGAATTGGGAAGGTGGGTTCTTTTTTATTTTTTAATTTATGTCTAGTTATAATATTGACTTGTGGCCAGACTGGTCTTCTCCACATAACAAGTTTAAAGCTTGTCATCGCGGTTGGCACAATTCTAGCTCTTTGGAATGAGGACTGAGGTGTCTTTGGTATGTCAAATCAAATGTCAGCTGCAGGATTTCCTTCCTGCAAAAGCTATATACTCAGCTAGATCTTTGCAAATCATAAATCAGAGTATAAACAGGAAAGACCACTATTAAAGTGTTAGTCTTACCTGTATGTGTATAATTATTTGTTTATTAGAAAAACTAATAAAAATAGTTTGAAAATTTTGAGTTTTAATGATAATAACAAAATAAAAAGTAAAACAAATAGTACTATGATTGATTTTTTAGAGTAAAAATATGATTTTTCGTTAAAATAAAACAGTATCAATAGCTTTCCGTTAAGATTCCTATTTTTTTCTTGTGAAAAAATTGAGGATTGTATATAATGGTTGTCAAGGATCCCAAGAGCAAACTGGTAGCCATTTCTGAACTTTCAACTTAACCAGTGTATGAGATTTGTCCTAAAATCAAAAATCGATCATATGATTTGTCATAGCTCTTTGACAGCATATTTGCTTAAGCAGAAATCGAACAAGTAAGGAAACAATGAACTTGGAGATCAAGGAAATCTAGAAATAAGGATCAAAATAACTGGCTACTGATTTTGAGGGTAACGATAATTAAGTTTAAAAGATTGACGTAGCCAAAAAACCTTTGAAGGAATGTTAACTTTAAATAACTATAAGATTACAATATAATAAGAAAAGTTCATATAAAAATTTATTATCCTCGACAAGTTTTCATGGTCTAAAATCTTCTCATAAGCGTATCATAATCAATATTATCGAAAACAAACTGATGAAGGCTGTATTGTTCGGCAATTCGGAAAATTGTATGTATAGGGTTAGGCATTACCTATTTGATTTCTTGATTCAGAATATAATTCCAATTCCAAAGATGAATTGATGAAGATAGTATTATTGTTGTTGCAGTCTTGGAGATGAAGACGCTAGGAAAAACTCTGAATAGGAGAGGGTTTAAAAGTTTAATGCTAATTGATTTGTTTAGCTTTTAGGTTTGGTGATTATGTTAGTTTTCTAAATATTATAAATGTTTTATAGAATGAAAGAAGACAAAAAGGTAAGAAATAATTCTACCATATCGGCATATTGTACATAACTGATAAATTACTATATACTATATTATTTTGATGAGAAGCATAAAAACTTCACAAGGGTGAGATGATCATTGTGAGGCCATATTGGCTCCGCCCCTGGTTTAAAATGGGATCCACATATATTTTCTTGTGTTATTAAATGTGAGGGAAGTCGGAAATTGGGAATAGATCCATTTCTTCTTGAATTCATTTCTTTAAGGGCTTGTATTCAATTGAGATTTTGAAAGATTTTAAAGTGTTATATATTCATGGAGTTTTAATGAAGTTTCATGGACTCTATATGAATTTTTGGTGAAATTATTAAAAATCTTAGTAAAAGATGCCTGATTTCCTAAAGAAAAAAAAAAGGGACACTTTGGATGCGGTCCTTAGCTATCAATATTCTTTGATTGAAACCTTGTTAGTTTTTAGTTTTTGATTGAGGTCCCTGACATTAATGTAATAATGTAAGTTACTATATTTTTAAAATTAAAAATTAAAAATTGAAATTTGTAATTGTTTATATTAATGAGATTTTAAATAAAACCCATAATTTATGGGATTAAAAATAATAAAATATAAATTATATGTGTGTGTGTACATATATGTATGGGTACATTAACCAAAATTAACAAAAAAAGTTATTGTACCAAAACATGGATACATTCTCAAATCAACGAAAAAGAATGTACCCATATAAGTTTAAACATGGATTAAAAAATTTGAAAGGATTTTATATTAAAAAAAGGGTACATTTTACATATAACAAATTTTTGATATATTTGAGAATGGGTACATTTAAGATTAAAAAATTGAGAATCTTTTTATATATAAAAAAAAAAACTAATAGGTACAAACTTAATTTAATTTAATTTTATTATTATTTTGGAAATGTTTGAATTGAAAATTAATTAGAAGTTTAATAGAGGTGTGAGTATTAAACCCTAAATTAATTACTAATTTTTATATTAAAAAATTATATAATAAACATGTAAATTCATTATCACATTAATGCTAGGGACTTGAATCAAAATTTGAAAACTAATAAGGTCTTAGTCAATGAACAGTAAGAACTAGGGACCGGATACTAATTTTTCCAAAAAATAAATACACTCAGATTTTTATGAAGTACTATAAACTTTTTAAAATTTTTGTTTGAATACACCTCTCTAAGTAAAATTGTGTCAAATGGCAGATGAGAATAAAGGAACTGAGATGAAAGGGTAGGGACTGTTTAATGTGGACATCCCAAATCCCCAAATTGTATTAAAACGTACGGCGTATTAAGCAATGCGGGCTTCACAAGTGCCCTCCCCTTGGCCCAAATCTGATTAACATAATCTTTTTGAAAATTACAATCACAATCACAATCACAATCACAATCAATCAATATATTTTCATGTTTGTTTTCAATTACGATCAGAATCCCAAAGTGTGACTGGTTTGGTTAAGTTTCAAGAATAGTTTTGAGATCAGGGATATTGAAGAATCAAACGCAAACCCTCGGGTGCAAAAAAAAATGTTGTTACTATTTGTAATTGTTGGAAAATATTAGTATTTATATTTATTTTAATATTTGGGTTTTGCTTGTTAGTTTAGGATTTGTGTCTAGCCATCCAAGTTAGGGTTTCTTAGATTTAGTTCTCTATAAACGCAAACTCTCGGATGCAAAAAAAAACGTTGTTAACCGCTTGTAACATCAATAACATAATGCTTTATGAAAAGATTTTTTGAGTATTCTGGACTTTTTAACAGATCCTTTACAAAACGCTGTATCACAGCAACTGGTTGGATCAAGAGAGCAACCAACACAAAGACGATAATGTTGGAACACAACTTAACTTTTTAGTTGTTAACCAATTAAACTTGCTTCCAACATTTAGTAGTTGCCCCAAAAAGACTCCAAGCTCAACATGCATGTCTCTCTCTCGTCTTTTGAAAATGCATTTAGCTTTACACACTTAAAAATTTAGTGAAGGAATCTAAGCTGGAAGATGGCTTTAGAATGAAAGAACCTCACAATGGACATCCGGGATGTAACAACATTTCAAATCTATCACGCACTACTTGTGTTTTCATCTTTGTAAGATACGTGATTAATTTAAGACACTGACACCTACACATGGTGTTCGAACTGCAGAAAATTTGTTCTCTGTGATGGGTAGTGGGCGTAGAGGTGGTGGACATGCAATGCAACCATATGCAAAGTGCGTCTCTGAATCTGCTCTGGTGGGGCATCTAATCCGATAATCTAATCTAACAAAAAGAATTGTCATTCACTCACATGCAAAATCACATCCCATCCCATTCCAGACACCTTTTTACACCAGCAGCATATTGTCTAGGGCACCACATCCCCGCCACCGCCACCACCACCTACACCAACACCCAAATTCAACAAATAAAATAACATATAACAAAACAAAAACAAAAAGAGGTGAGACTTGCGAGTTCCAATGCTTTTGCTCAACATTTTAGAACCAGAAACGTGATTAATTTCAGCAAACGAAGGCTACTCCAAGAGAGGGATTGGAATTTGGAGTGTATACAAACAAGAAGAATACCAAAGGAGTTTTATATAATTAAAAAAAAGGCCTTCGTTTCTTTAGGCTTCTGAGAAACTCGGCCTACCTTCTTCACACCCACCCACCACTTACTTACATGGAGCGAGATTGATCCTTTCACTAAAAACACCAACGAGTCAAAACTTCCCACTACATAAAAAGCTACAACCACTTGTCTACTAGTACTACCCAACCTAAGCACTGAAAAGGAAAAAATAAATAAAAAGGGTATACAAGGGAGAAGAAGAACAAGAACAAGAAAAAGGTATTACACTAGATTGAATGATACACATAGGATTAAGTAGAGCGGTGAAATGGTCTTTTTCACCTCACGGGCAATTCGAGTTTTTACCGGGGCCTCCGTAGTAAAAGTAATGACCCCAGTCTCCATTACTGCCAGTTCGAACATCATAGCAGTTTGGTTGCTCAGTGAACGTGCCCAACCCTTTTGGGGCCTTGAGATTATTTGAGCTATCAACAACCTGGATGTTTCTGAAATAACTTGCCTTGCCAAAACCCTCCTCTGGAAAACGTCCGCTGCCCATTTGGGTTGAGGTGTGCTGGCCGTCCGGCTCTGAATTCACAACCTCACCTCCCCACTCAACCATGGAAGCACTGTCAGCCAAGTAGGAGAATAGGTAAGAAGGCCAATAACCCAGCACATAGTCGTTTCCGAATTGCATCCACCAGTGCCCCTCCTTTGGATCCTACGAACAAAAAAACACCACAGTTTTCCCAAGTGAAAACAGTTTTCTCAAATGTGCATCTATATCTACTGTTGAATTATAGAGGGAATAAAAAGGGTCTCTACTATCCTATAGCCTATGCCTATGCAAAACAAAAGAGTGGCAAGACAATGCTATTATCTTTCCCGTGACATGCATGCAAAGAAAGATGAATCAAAGTTTGGAACTTGTCAATGTCTGTATAAACAATGCTTGTCCCTTTATCAACAACAGTCAGATTCTTAGAATCTCAACCACAATGGATTTCTGCCCCCTACCCCCTAATTCTCAAAGATTGCATATGATGATGATGATGTATATCTATTGTATATAAATACATATTATACATATATATACACATATATTTCGCTGCTTATATTGCCTATGATGAATTTTGATTAACGTTTATCCATGCTCATATGCCTCCTTTAGGAGTTTATCAGCTATATTCCTTTGTTTTCTTTTACCACAAACTAGATGACCCATTTGTGCTTGCTTTTTACCTTCCAGACAAGTATACTGATGTCATATTGCGATCCTCGAACGCCTGAAACTGGAGAGATGCTTGCACCCATTGCTATTTCATTGTTGATTTGAATGAAGCCTGAGCAGAGGAGGTTGTAGCAACCAGTGGCTTGATATGCATCACTCTGTAACATAGTCACGGAAGGGAAGCATGCAAGGAAAAAACACATTAGCAAAACTATTAAAATTGAAAATAAACAAGAAACAAAAATGCAAACGCGAAAAAGTAAGGGAAATTTAATGTTTTGGAAGCTTACAGTCCAGTATGTAAAAAGTCTTGTGTTGTTGTCACCATAGAGGTCTGGGCTTACCTGTTGCAGTGCACAAACAAGTATCAAGATCGATACTTCACGTTTCAATAAGAAAATAAGTAACTTAGTAAATACAGGCTCGAATACTTTTTGGCCTTGATTAAGATAGTACCTGCCAGCCAGCTTCAATGCTGTTCAGATCTTCACCAAAAGATCCTCCTAATACCCACAGCTGAGACAAGCTGAACTCATTAGGCTGTTGTATCTTGGGTTCCCAGACATTTATGGTTGCTTTTGCTCCATAGTACTTATCTCCATTGACATATGCAATTGCATGCTAATCACCCCCAAAAAAACAAAGAAGCCAATTAAAACAAAATTAAGAAATCCACTAAAATAAAGTTTAAAGAACACAGGGAAGACTAAGAACGTCCATTAGAGAAAGCTTACCTGATGGCCACTCTCATTGGCAAGATCAGGATCAGCAGATTTTGGTATGGTTCTCTGCTTCTTCCTTCCATAATGTTTCATTGAACTTGCTCTCAGAATATCATCTTCCTTCGTTCTCCTTACCGGAATAGTATCTTCCGGGCATCTCCCATTGACATGCCACAGCTGGGTATTTACCCTTTCTTTTTGTACTTTCAGCCACTTTGTTCTCAGCAAATAACCCTTCGGGGTGGTAGGTAGGCCTCATCTGAAAAACAAAACAGACAAAAGTAAACTTAGAAACAATGCAATAGGCAAAAGGAACAAAAAATTGTCAAATTTAACAACGTATTGTTGAGGAAAATGGACCTGGATTTTGTGATCTTTGAGGTAAGGGTGATCGAAAGCCGGTTGCTGAGAGATATGAACACAGTCTATAATATCTCCATCTGGGCTCTAATACCCATAACAAATCAAAAGATTCTCGAGTCAGATCTTACAACAGAAGCAGTGCAAAATATTACAACAAAGAAACTTGCTAACTCTCAAGAATCAAGAGAAAATAATTGAAGACATTGCTACACTTTTTTTTTTGGATTTTTTTTTCTTTTCATTTTTCTGATCTTCTGTAACTACTTTTAAAAGGAAATCATTGTAAAGAGAGGAAAGAGCAAACAACGACTAAATCATTGTTTTGTTTTAAAAAATAATAATAAGCTTCTGCAGAAAAAAAAAAAATATATATATATATATATATATATATATATATATATTATACTGAAAATCATAGGGGAAAACCCATTTGCTTACACTTCCCAATTGGTCACTGAGAAAACAATAAGAAAATACAAATAAATCAAACATTTTTACCCAAATAAATGAATAGAACTAATCAAAACAACAAAAAAATGTATAAAATTTTGAACTTTCTTCCATTTTCCACCACTTTCTCAGAAATCCAACAAAGGGAGAGAACAAAAAAAGCAAGAAAGCTCTTCCTTTTTTTCAATTTTTTTTCAAAAAATAAACACAACCCAAGAAAGTTAAATGAAGAAAGAATGTAAAGTTGAAGAAAAAGAGGAAACCTTGATGCTTTTCACGGCGGGTTTGTTCAAGCGGTTTAGGTGCTTGTGGACATCAAGCTTCTGCCTTGAAGAAGCACTCAATCTGGCAGCACAAGATAGAGAGATCAAGGTCAATAGGCAAATGGCCAGCGCCAGAGCTCTCCCAGAGCTCCCTCTGCTGCACCCAGCAAACTCCATTTGGTAAACCCAGCAAAACAAAGACCCAAAAAGCTCAAAAAATCAAAGCTTTCTCTCTCTCTCTCTCTCTCTCTCTCTCTCTCACAGTGCTACAATATAGAGACCCAGCAGCGTAGGTTAGAGCTCAAGCAAGCACATTGATCATTACCCAGAAACACAAAGACCCCTCTCTCTCTCTGTGTGAGAACCCAAATGACGCAGCTTTGCTGGGTGAGTTGGTTCTGCTTGAAACCTTCAACGCCAAAATCCAATAAAACTGCCCACCTCTGTCTCTCAAGAACCCACTTGGGAACTTTGTCGTTTTCTATCTCTCTACTTTCACATTTCAAGAACTGCACATTTCTTTCTTTCTTGTCATTTTCCCTCTACTTTTCTCTCTCTCAAATTAACTCTCTCTCTCTCTCTCTGCTTCCTTTCAATTTTTAGGCTTTTGCAAGAGCATGAAGTTCAAAACTATTACATAAAAGGAGTTAATATAAAAAATTATTAGAAATTTAAAATTTTAATTGTGCTAAATGATATGGCGTGGATAATTATATTATTTTTAAGTATTGATTAATATATTTATTTTTTATTTATGATATATTATTTATTTTGTAAATTTAGTTTAAAATTTTGATATCTTTACTATTATCCTTAAAATAATACTCTTGTTATTGTATAATTTGATTTTTGTACATCTCAATAAGATTTTTTAATATGCCCGAAATACAAAGCCGTATGCTATGATATTATACAAGTAGAGGAAAGTTTATTTTTATAAAAAGAGAAGAAATATAACTAGACTATTATTTTAAGAAAATTGTTATTAATACTTTAAAAATCATACTTGGCAGTCTAAATTTTCTATAATTAAAAAAAATACACTTATAAAAAATATAGAATAAAATATTTAAAATGCTGATAACAGTTTTTTATTTTATATATTAATAATAATAAAACAACAACTTAGATGTTTAATTAAACAATGCGGTCGAAAATGAACCCGATTCTTTTAAAGGGAAAGGAAGGTCCACCGGATAAATTATGGTGCTAAAAGCTTTTGAGGCTACAGCTTGGTTTGTCGTTTGGAAAGACTTATTGGGAGGTTCATGAAATATCTTTCCAGTTTCTCATTTTCACTCCTCATTCAAAAATAACCCCCATCACATTTACTAAAGGACAGAGTTATCCGCTCTCGTTTTTACTTTTACACAGTATTCTTTAGTTTTTTTCATTGAATCGAATGAATGAAAAAAATATCAATAACAACAAATTAATAAAGATATGTGAAAAGTCCAAAAGAGTGTGAGAGTCCAATAATGTGTGGACATCACTATCCTAAAAAAAATTTTCTTTATAAGGAAAACTAATTAAAATAGCTTGAAAACTTTGAGTTTTAATGATAAAGACAAAATAAAGAGTAAAATGAATAGTACTATATTTGACTTTTTAATTTAAAAATATGATTTTTCGTTAAAGTGAACAGTACCGTGAGTTTTTCGTTAAAACTTCCTCCTTTACAAGGCATAAACGAGATGACATATTAAGACGTTTGAGGAAGCACTATATAGCAGAGAATCCTTGATACCGGGGAGTCTCGTCCACGACCATTTGTTTTTTTGGTTATTCTGGACAAAGATTCTTATGTTCCAATCTCATTTCAATGGCACCTCCACCATCCACCATATTATTCTATACTTTTTATTTACATGCATAATTAAACTTTTCAATTACATGCATAATTAAACTTTTCAATGGCAGGCAGTGGCTTACGTTTTATGTATGGGATGTGATATCCACACATCATTTTTTACTTTTCTCACATCCTTTTAATTTTCTGCCGTTGGATTGGATAAATTGAAAAATATCAAATGACAAAAATTAACAAGGAATATGAGAGAAGTAAAAAAATGTGCGTGAATAGTACACTCCTTTATGCATAATTAAACAGAATAAATATATTAATTAGGATAATACTGGGAACAATGGTCCTCTCCTCCCCCATTTTATATCCTATTTTCAACCATGGAAATGCACAATTTCCCAAACCCATCAACAGATGTAGTCCTTGCTATATATATTAGTATATTACCCCATCGTCAAAATAATAAAAAGTAAAATGAGACCAATATAAGACACATAGTAGTTTTAAAATACGTAATATTGTTCAAACGCTATTTAATTAATCAATTTAATGTCAATCACTCGTTTAACGTTACCATATATATTTTACATAATTTAAACATCATTTTAAGTCATCACTGAACAATAATCATGTAAAAAATTATGCATAACAAAAAACACAATTTGTGAGTAATCCACATTCTAGATAGTTAAAACATTCATTACATGTCAAAGTTAATTACATTTTCAACTAAATATCAACAACTATAACATTGGAAAAAGCATAAGCTATATCATCAGTAATATCGACGATATATATCGCTGGTAAAGTTAATGCATGTACGCAGTTGGACCAATGAGTTTAATAATTTAGTGAATCACAAGCAATAGCATGTGTTGACTGTTCGGTGAGGACCAAAAATGTTTGAGTAAGGAGCGATGAGTGTGAGTGCAATCTGATTCTGAGGCAACTTCTGCACTTTTCACATGACAATTATTGTCATCTTATACACACAATAATATCATAAACTAAATAAAATGGTGGAAGGAAGGAACTCGGAAGCGAAAGCATCTGGATGTCAATTGCCATGCCTATTCAAAGTATTCTTCCTTTCTGGTTTCTAGCTCGTTCTTCAGTCCCATTTGACCACCTTATATTTTTTTTCTTAAAAAAACTTTGCACTGTGTCTTAAACAATGATGGTTTGCCGTGTACTCATTAGTTTTTTTAGCTTTGCAGGGATGACGCCTGGGCATGAGGTGCTGCGTCTCTTTTCTTGTAAATCCCTGCACAGCTTGTCTTGCTTATGCTGCTTGTTTGGCTTCTGTTGGCTTTCTGTTTGTTTGGCTTCTTAGCCCTGGCTTTGTTGTAGCAGTTTTTCCAAAAAAAAAACTTTGCACTGTATTCCTGACAAGTAAGGTATTATTATTTTTGTCATTTTTATTAACATATGAAATTATAGAAATAACATATGTGTTCTTCCGTCCAGCCCGAGAGATATATAATCTGACACACGAGCAGAATATTCACTTGCATGAGACTAGCTACGGCAATGGAGTTCGAAGCTCCACTGTGAAACACAACAGTGGAAGGTTTCGAGGGCCTGAAAGCTACTGCATTGCCAATAATACACGCACACACATATAACTGGTTCCACACCCAAATATTAAATTAGATGTTATAACTTTAGAACTTAACATTTATATTTAACCGGTGGCAGTTCAGTAATATTACACATTCATCGTCTCAGAATCCCAATGAAAAGTGTTCTCGTCAGCTGCGTTCATGATTACCAAGGTGGAGATATGACTGACGCAGAGCCGCAGAGGGGACCCGTCGCTTTTGTTTTCCGTCACCTGCCAACCACAGTTACCATCGTCTCATCACCAACTAATTTGTGGAAAAAAAAAAATTGTGTGGAAATTATTTTGACTCTTCTATTGAGCGAGAGAATGGATCCGGATCTTTTTGTGAATATCTCGGAAATTTATTAATCGTGTTTATTTATCATACATTATACGGTTATAAATTATTTTAAATATTTTTATTTAAAATTAAATACAAATAATACTTGATAAAAATGAATACACGATGTATAATGAACAAATACGATTCATGGATCCCAAGATCCTCACCAAAAGAATCCAAAGAGGATCAGAGCAATTCCACCCATGGAGTCTTCCCCCTGGCAATCCACTATTCAATCCACCCTATTGAACAGTAACTGCCTTAAATGAATAGTAACTATCATTAATGAACAGTAATTGCCATTTACATCTCCACCCTTGGAACCCTCTCCCTAGCAATAATCAATTAAAATAATAATTTTTTTTGTTTGTTTAAATAATAAAAAATTGCAAAAGCTCCGGTCCCCCTCTCTCTCTGACACAAAAAAAATAAAAAATTGCAAAGCCCTCGGGCCACAGGCTCGTCGACTCCCCACCCCCCCTTCGCTCGGGCTCCCACCGTCGCTCGGTCTCCACATGGCTGGACCTTTCTCCATCGGGCCTCTGGCCCCTTCTTCTCCACTGTCCCCCGAGCAACCCACATGGGTGGAGTTGCTCTCATGTTAACGAGAGAATAACTTGCACACACCTTCGTTGTGATACCGTGACGCGAAAAACAAATAATGTTATGTCGTGGGTTCTCATGCGCAACATTACCTTATTGTTTAGAGTTGTAAGATAAATAGCAGTATGACAAAGTATAGGGATTCCGAAGTATATGATTTTTTAGAGTTGTAAGATAAATAGCAGTATGACAAAGTATAGAGATTCTGAAGTATATGATTTTTCAGTCTTATTTTATATTTGAAATATGTTATTCTGTTGACAGATCAAAGCCGAGTGGATGGTATACTTTGGTTTGATTTCACAATGCAATATGATAAATTTTTAATTAAGTTTGATTTAATTATCGAGGAATTATGAAACGAATGAGTCGAACTGCTTTAGTTCAAATTTTGAGGTCTATATCATTCCTTATCAACGATCAAATCAAAACATTAATTGGTTTGGATGAATCTTGCATCATATCGGCACACATAGTGCCCCATACCGATATGAACCACAAACAAAATAATTAGAAAGCTCTATGCGCAACAAACTCACAAGTCACAAAAGATTGGTACATCCAGCATTTGGACCCCATCTGATATTTCATAAAGACGGACCAACAATCACTGTTAATTAGTCCCGTAACATTATCATCTCCTACTTGAACTTGATCACATGCTAGCGCAACAAGTGTTATAAAAAGAGATCTTCATGTTACCAATGATATAACTACTCAGTTACATACCAAATTTATCAAATTTCTGATACACGTTTACATTCTTCAACAGAAAACCATATGCATAAACTTGCAAAGTTGAGCACTATTGTTTGTGCTTGGTACCGACCCGAACTGCTTGGTATTTCAATTGAAAAAGTGTGTTTTTATTTTTATGGACTCGGTCAAATTGGATAAATAAAAACTAAAAATTTTGAGAGATAGATTGTCTGCCCTCCTGTTATGGTGTTCTTCCCATCTCTTTCTATTTGTGAGGTCATGGTTAAGCCACGTCAATATTTGATATTCTTATTATTTTTTTGTCTCTATAAAAAATCAATATAAAATGTTGACGTGGCTTAACCGTGACCTCACGAATAAAAAATGATGAGAAAAGCACCATAACAGGATGGCAGACAATATGCCTCCCAAATTTTGATGGTACAAAAAGTTAAAGGTGAATGATGGATTTGATAGAATCCCTTCCACTTAAGCCTCATGACCTATAATTCCAGATTTT